GTGGGTAAGAACCTCACTTCTTCAGATGCCGGCATCTGAAGAAGTGAGGTTCTTACCCACGAAAGCTTATGCTCCCAATACTTCTGTTAGTCTTAAAGGTGCCACAGGACCCTCTGTTGCTTTTATTTGCTTGTAACTGTTTCCGACTTTATCCTGTTTACTTGGTATCACTTAATCTATGTTCTTTTGTTAAGAAGTTTGTTTTGCTTTCATTCTAAATCATCATTGTTGTGTAAGTTCAGTAAAGTGTGTGCTTCTAGAAAGTAGACAGGATGGAGTGTTTTACTTGGCTTCTAAGGGCAGAGAACCTAACTCTTTCTGAGGGTTCAGTGGGAGGGACTGGCCCCTGCTGTAGGATGGTTTTGGGGTGAACTCAGGGCTGGAAGGGTACTGAGGTCAGTCTGCAAGGAATAACTGGGTTGGGCAAAGCCAGGGTGAAGCTTATGGGCTGCTGGCAGGCTGTTGAGAGGGGCAGAGCTCTGGACCAAAGCTACAGAGCCACAAGACATCCACGGTTACAAGGGAAACAGTGACTGAATCCCTTACTGGCCTGGGTGAACTCCAAACCATCAAACTTGGCAGCCCACTATCCTCAAAAAAATCTCCATTCCCCATGAATAAGATCATTTCTCTGCTCATGCACCTAAACACCCACTCTGGAAAAACCCAAAAAAGTACATTTTGGGACTTGATGATCAATAAATGTAGACTGGCTGGCTGGCACCACACCTACGAATACCAGCTGAGTCACAAATCCTGGGGCATCTCCAAGTGCTTCTTCATTGACTCAGGTACAGTGGACATCTTTATCAAAACTGAAGCAACTTGGGCACTATAGATTCCTTTGTGGCTCAAGCCTGTTCTTGATCTGGCAGAGGCAATCACGTGGGTGTTCTTTCTCCGGGCCAGTTTCCATGGAAACTGTTCCAAGAGTATTGAGAGACCCATACATTCCCCCACGCTTCAGTGTGGTCCTTGGTATTTCATGGCTGGCCCTCCACAACTCCCTTATCTGCTGGTCTGAACTAACAGTTGAATTTTTCTCAGAATTCTGCCCGCAGCACTGCTTGACCCCAGGAAATAGGCAGTGGGCACTAGTTCCTCGGTGGTTGCATGCCAGGGGTAGCTGGCCAGGCAGAGCTATCCACTGAGTATGGTCCTTGACTTCTGTCCAAATACAGCAACTACAGTGATGTGTTTTGAAAACAAACAGACACTGTGCCCAGTCACACTACAACCAGGGGCAAACATTCTGTTCTGACATACATATATGGTATGTTTGAGCCGGAACTAGCTGTGCTGCGCATCTATTGTCTGGTGACCTCACATATGCTCCATATTGTGCCTTTGTGCCCACACCAAAAAGCTCCACAATAAACCTATCAGACATCTGCAACCCCTCAAGACGTCACCTGGCATAGTCACTGCTTAGATTTTGTTATAGAACTACTTGAGTCCAATGGGTTCACAATGGGTGGATGTTTTGCTGGCTTCCAAATTAATTAAATATGAATGCATTTGTAAAATGGGGAAAATGTTGTATGATTTTCCTTGAAACCCTGACTGTTTGGTTATATTTAGGCTTGAAAGAATTAGATTTTTATCGATAAATGTCAATAACCATCAATTTTGCTGTACAGACAAGCCAACAATAAAACATTTCCATCAATAATCTTCTAAATTTATAGATAGGCAAAGTAAGAAAAATACTGCTTGAGAACTTATTAGAGTTTGATTTAAGGCAATTTACTTTGTATATTTTGACATGTGATGTTGCAAAGTTGTGTTTCAATGCTTATAAAAAAAATTTTTGAATCACATCTGTCATTAAGAAAAAACTACTATCGACTCCCCTCCAACTTCCCACAACTCTGAAAAATTAAATAAATATGCTTAAAATCAATATCGGTTCAAATTATAAAAATAAAACTTGAATTCTCCCAAGCATAGGGGAGAGGAAACACACTAAAAATACAGGTGTGACTGGGTTAAAAGCTACTAGGCCCAGTTAATATGGGCTTGGTTTTAAGAATAGGTGCATTGGGCTGGGATGGAAAATTCCCCATCTGTGGGACAGGAGCTAACCCTCTAAAGTGCCCTGGAGCTACTGCCCAAGAAGCAGCATCTTGCTTCTCTGTGCAGGGCAGGGGCCGCTGTGATGGCTTCCAGCCGTGGGTGAATTTCTGGCTGAACCTCTCAGCTGTGGGGAGATCTAAATGTGGGCGCTGTAGCTGACAAGGGGAAGGAGGAGAGCTGATTGGATTTTCCTATCAAAATATATAGTTCAATCAGAAATGAAGTTTTCTGTGAGGAAATGCTGATTTCAGCTCCTTTTCAAATTTCTGTTGGGATAATCAACAGGAACACATTTCATTTTGACATTTCCAAATAGATTTTTTTTCCCTAAACTTTTCTTTGCCCACAAACTTTGGCTATTTCATAGCTTCACCGCAGTGAAAAGAAAAGAATCTCCTGCAGGATGGAAATTCTGTTTTCTGAGCAGCTCTAGCAGGGCAGTGAGAGGATGGGAAGCAAAGAGCAATATTGCTATGGTGACAGTTTCATGGCCTGATTCCTGCTGTAAGTAATTTACAGTAAAGACAGGGGAGAGGAACAGGTCTGTGAAGGGGAGAATGGGCAACTGGAATAAGTGTCACCATTGGGAATAAGGAATTAATTTATAGGTGGAACTACAATTGTCGTTGAAAGGCACAGCAGAGGGGACAATCTAGGGTCCCTGTGACTGACCTGGTGGGGTTTTCATTGGAGCAGAGTACTAGCAGCTGTTTTTTCAGGGTCTGGTGACCTTCAGAGAGGTGGCTGTGTATTTCTCCAAGGAAGAATTGGCTCTGCTGGACCCATGTCAGAAAGCCCTCTACAGCTGTCATACAGGAGAATTATGAGACACTGATCTCACTGGGTAAGGAGTCGTTTCCCCAGGTCAAGACTAGTCAGATTAGACAAGTGTTGCCAAGGGGTAAGAAAGCTACAGACTTGCTGGGGAATCTGCCCGTGATGTGTGCTGTTAGGACACTTTGCAGCATAGTCACTGGTGTGTTAGTATAACCTGCTGGTAAATGTGTGCTGCAGCTCCTCTTCAATGCCCATCCCACAGAGGATATCAATCTGCCATAGCCCCATAAAGAGGCTTAGTTCAACTGCAGCAGCGCCTGACTTTAACTCTGGAGGTCACCATTTCAGTCCCTGGTGTGTTGCCCAAGATGGTGGCTGTCAAACTAGTACCAGCAGGGGAGGGGATAGCTCAGTGGTTTGAGCATTGGCCTGCTAAACTGAGGGTTGTAAATTCAATCCTTGAGGGGGCCACTTGGGGATCTGGGGCAAAATCAGTACTTGGTCCTGCTAGTGAAGGCAGGGGGCTGGACTCAATGACCTTTCAAGGTCCCTTCCAGTTCTAGGAGATGGGATATCTCCGTAAAATTTCAGAGATGTAGCTGTGTATGCTTAGCAATGGGATAGTGGTCTAACATTGCTGCTGTCACAGAGTCATTAAATCCAGTGATGCATAGATTCTAGGACTGGAAGGGACCTCAAGAGGTCATTGAGTCCAGTCCCCTGCCCTCATGCCTGGACCAAATACTGTCTAGACCATCACTGATAGACATTTATCTAACCTACTCTTAAATATCTCCAGAGATGGAGATTCCACAACCTCCCTAGGCAATTTATTCCAGTGTTTAACCACCCTGACAGTTAGGAACGTTTTCCTAATGTCCAACCTAAACCTCCCTTGCTGCAGTTTAAGCCCATTGCTTCTTGTTCTGTCCTTAGAGGCTAAGGTGAACAAGTTTTCTCCCTCCTCCGTATGACACCCTTTTAGATACCTGAAAACTGCTATCATGTCCCCTCTCAGTCTTCTCTTTTCCAAACTAAACAAACCCAATTCTTTCAGCCTTCCTTCATTGGTCATGTTCTCAAGACCTTTAATCATTCTTGTTGCTCTTCTATGGACCCTCTCCAATTTCTCCACATCCCAGAACTGGACACAATACTCCAGTTGAGGCCTAACCAGCGCAGAATGGAGCAGAAGAATAACTTCTCGTGTCTTGCTCACAACACACCTGTTAATGCATCCCAGAATCATGTTTGCTTTTTTTGCAACAGCATCACACTGTTGACTCATATTTAGCTTGTGGTCCACTATAACCCCTATATCCCTTTCTGCTGTACTCCTTCCCAGACAGTCTCTTCCCATTCTGTATTTGTGAAACTGATTGTTCCTTCCTAAATGGAGCACTTTGCATTTGTCTTTGTTGAACTTCATCCTGTTTACCTCAGACCATTTCTCCAATTTGTCCAGATCGTTTTGAATTATGACCCTATCCTCCAAAGTAGTTGCAATCCCTCCCAGTTTGGTATCATCTGCAAACTTAATAAGCATACTTTCTATGCCAATATCTAAATCGTTGATGAAGATATTGAACAGAGCCGGTCCCAAAACAGACCCCTGCGGAACCCCACTTGTTATACCTTTCCAGCAGGATTGGGAACCATTAATAACTACTCTGAGTATGGTTATCCAGCCAGTTATGCACCCACCTTATAGTAGCCCCATCTAAGTTGTATTTGCCTAGTTAATTGATAAGACTATCATGTGAGACATATCAAATACCTTACTAAAGTCTAGGTATACCACATCCACCACTTCTCCCTTAGCCATAAGACTTGTTATCCTATCAAGGAAAGCTATCAGATTGGTTTGACATGATTTGTTCTTTAGAAAGTCATACTGGCTATTCCCTATCACCTTACCACCTTCCAAATGTTTGCAGATGATTTTCTTAATTACTTGCTCCATTATCTTCCCTGGCACAGAAGTTAAACTAACTGGTCTGTAGTTTCCTGGGTTGTTTGTATTTCCCTTTTTATAGATGGGCACTATATTTGCCCTTTTCC